TGCTCAAGAACTGAGGTTTGTAGAAGTTATGTAGGTTGGCTGAACACTTTGCCATCCACTAGCTGTGATTTAACCTTTAAAAAGAACAACAGTGGTGGCTAACTCACAGCGCTGACAGGAGACCTGAATGAGTTAATTACTACATGTAAAATGCTAAAAACAGTCCCTGGCACATAGTTGATTCTCAACAAATGTAAGATACTATTATTACTCCACATCTCTGGAAGTAGAGTTGATTTCTGTTTTTCGTTCCCTCATTCAGCAAACATTTGTTGAGCACCTGCTGTGTGCTGTGTTCTGGGGAGAGAGCCCATGTTCTTAATTGCTATGCTTTATTGCCTCCAGTTCAGTTCCAAGGAAGATAGTTTCCCTCTTTGTAGGCAATTGGAAAATAATGTCACTAAAGATAGGACAGTTCATGGTCCACCAGCATTTTGTTTTTAAGTCTTCAAAATAAGCATCATGCTAATAAGATAATGCACATCTTAAAGTCATTCCTCTTGATCTCAAGATAGTGCTGACTTCATGCTGGAGCAGAAGACAAGAAGTGAGTGTAGTTACTGATACAGCTGCTTAGATTAAATAAAATTATTGAATCTATCAATAGCATGATGCTCCTCTGCTCAGGGAAACAAAGTGTTTCTCAGTTTACTCTTAGAGGAATTAAAGGTTTCATTTACGTTTTGTAAGCAGATCATTTGCCTTTGAAGAACAAAATAAAACATTTAAGTTGATAGAGGCCGAGCTTTTTAAAGCCAAAGTAAGTTAAGAAGAACCAGGTCTTTCTACTAAAGCTGTGTGGAGTAAGGAATTTGAAATGATATAAAATATGGGACAAGAATTGTGTGTGTGTGTGTGTGTGTGTTTAAAGGCAGTGGCTTTAAATTAATGTGACTTTAACAGAGTAATAATCAGATATCTGACCAAACAGGCTTCCCGGGTTGGGGCTGCTGTCTTCCCATCAGGGCGACATTTCTGACTTTTTGATAATTCATTAGTGTCGTTCACAAACTGTATTCAACCTGAAATGGCAAAGTAAGGCCACCAGTGATTGTCCTGCCACAGTTCGCTGGCTTTGATGAGTCATTGCAGTACAGCCATCTGAACCAAGTGCCGATAAGAATAGAGATACACAATAGGAAAATAAAACAACTGAGAGCTGAAGCAGAAATCGCTGGGAGCTCAGAAGTATGTTCACGGCTCTGCCGTATTTAGCTGCATGACCTCGTGCACGTCAGAGTCCTCCAGGGCCCCAGGCTGCTCGTGCATAAAAGAAAGTTTCTAAGGTTTCTTGCTGAAGTTAGGTCAACTTCAGAGTTTAATATCCACTGAGAGAGAAAGAGAGAGAGAGGAGGTAAGTCCTTTCAGGCGACCACGATTCAGGAGTTACGTGATTATAGTAGTTTTGTTGACCGGTGGAAAACAGCAGATGAGTCAGCCTGCCGTGTAGCTTTCGGAGACCAGTGATGCTTTTTTTTTGTTGTTGTTACAAAAAGACTAGACTACAGCACAAGTTTAGGTGCCAGTGGTCAGGGTGATGCCAAGTTCCAGAAATAGCAGCTAGGGTGTTGTACAGAGGACAGTAGGGAGGCGACGGTGGTCACCAGTTGGTTTTCCCAGCCAGACCCCACTTCCGCTTTCCATAGGGAAGCCGTTTCTGTGAGAGGCATGGGGGGTGTATCGTCCCCAGCCGGCCAGCAGCCCACCCCTCACGTGTTGCTTGGGAAGTCACTACCAGTGACTGAGAAGAGGCCGGTGGTATTTCGTCTGAGCCTGGTTTGGTTCTCCAAGGGTCGATGCGAGAGCCGCAAACCGCTGAATGAAACGTGGACTCCTCTCAAGCCCAGCAGATCTGATCCATTCCTCATCCTCCCTCTGGGCCCTTTCTCCACTCGTTACAGAAGAGCGAGCTTATTCCCATTCCTCTCAGGCCTGGTACTGAGCTCCCCAATCTGCTTATTCTGTGCCTCCCCACACGGTTCAGCTTGGCCCACCACAGACAGCGCAAGTCCCCATGTGTAATAGGAAGAGGTTGGGTTGGGTGGGGGTGGGGGGGTCTTTCTGCATCCTAGCTGCACCACTTCCTGGCTGTGGAACCTGGACTACTTTATTTAGCTCAGGTGGTAAGTGTGGTAGTATTAATAGTCTTCATGCAGGTAGCCACACGGTAACTTAAACCATACGAAATTACATTTTAACTTAAACCATATGAAAATATCTCCTCCTTGAAGGAGAGAGAGTGAAGGTGGGGCAGAAAACTAAGGCTTGATCTCTCCCAGCCCCAGCCCTCCATCAGCAAGAGTGTATCATAAACACCAGAGGCAGATTTCATCTCATAGAGGTCACAGGGATCCCCACCTCTCTGCACAGGCCCCTAGGACGATGAGTTTCAAACTCTGTAAGCAGCAATCAACTTTTTAAAAATCTTACACCAAAGTGTAATATGTAAAATGAGTAAAAGTAGGCTTTTGTGTATAAACATATGCTTAGGTTGAAATTTATAATAAACCCACTAAGGATTATGAAGCAGTTTTGATTAACCCAAAAATTTGAAATAAGGGTGATAATAGATGACAGGTATGGTCTTTTTCATATAACATATAGATAAGTAATTGTAAATGATACATTTTTTAAAAAGTTTCTCCTTCCAAACAAGTGATACCAGTCAATTAAAAAGAAAAGATAGAAGGCATATTATGCCAAAGCTGCCTGAATATATAGACCATGAACATTTCTGTGTTCACGTGTAACAGATGGGAATGAACTTCTAAATTATTGCATTTTTTTCCAAAATGATGTACATTTAAAAAATAAAGTAAATGTTAAGGGGCACCTGGGTGGCTCAGTCAGTTAAGCGTCTGCCTTCTGCTCAGGTTCGGGTCATGATCTCCAGGTCCTGGGATTGCTCCCCTCAAAGGGCTCCCTGCTCAGCAGGGAGTCTGCTTCTCCTTCTCCCTCTGCCCCTCCCCCCTGGGCTCCTGTGTGCTTGCTCTCGCTCTCTCTCTCGTTCACTCTCTCTCAAATGAATAAATCTTTAAAAAAAATGAAGTAAATGTTAAAACATCTGAAATATGTCCATACAGTCCCAAGGTTTGGTAGAAGGATGCTCGAAACATACTCCCTTAGATCTTGGGTCACTGGGATCCCTATTTGCTCTCTGTTTCCTGTTCGGTTGTGGCGAGTGTTCATTGGCTTATGGAAATCTACACAGTTTTCAATACTGAGAGCCATTTGATACAAAAAAATGGTTAAATTTGGATAAGGTCTGTAGTCTGATTAACAGTTTTTCATTAGGGGGCGCCTGGGTGGCTCAGTTGGTTAAGCGACTGCCTTTGGCTCAGGTCATGATCCTGGAGTCCTGGGATCGAGTCCCACATCGGGCTCCCTGCTTAGCAGGGAGTCTGCTTCTCCCTCTGACCCTCACCCCTCTCATTCTCTCTCTCTCTGTCATTCTCTCTCTCTCAAAAATAAATAAAAATAAAAAAAAATTTTTCATCAGTGTCAGTTGTTTGTTGTGATATTCTGCTGTAGGGATGTCAAATAATACAGTTGGGGGAAGGTGCGTGAAACTCTTTGCAATGTGTTGCAGTTTACTCTGAGTCTAATTATTTCACAATTCAAAAGTAAGAAAAATTATTTGGAAAGGATTGTCTCCTACTTAGGAGAGTACAATCAGCTTGATAGAGTGGTGTACACATCACACTTACAGAATGGATTCCAGACTTCCGGCTGTCTCACCTTAAAAAAAAAAAAAGCATCTTTTCTTTCCTTGCCACTGAGTTCTGTTCCCCACCCCTCTACATTCGTTCTATTACCTACTGTAACACTGTTGAAGTTTTGAAAAGAAAAGGGGGGGGGAAATCGGAGGGGGAGATGAACCATGAGAGACTATGGACTCTGG